TGGTGGGCTTTAACAAAACAATTCTAAATGCCTCCTTTTTTTCCTTTGTAAAGTAGGCTTTATATTTTAGGTTTGTGGAGAAATTATACAGAAAGTACAGAGAATTCATATATATATACCTCAGCTCCTACCCCTACAATACACGGTTTGTCCTATTATTAACATGTTGCATTCCTGTGGTACATTTGTTACAACAGATGAGCAAATACTGATATGCAATTATTAGCTAATGCCGGGAGCTTACATTAGGATTCATTGTTGGTGGGTTTTGACAAATGCATGTTGTCATGTATCTGCCATTCCAGTACCATGTGGAATAGTCTCACTGCTCTGAAAATGTCCTGTGATCCACCTTGTCATTCTCCTCACTCCAAGTCCCTAATGCCTGGCAGCCACTGGTCTTTAGTTTTGCCTTTTCTAGAATGTCATGTACTCGCAGTTGGATTCATACAATACATAGCCTTTTCAGACGGGTTTCTTTCACTTAATAATATGCGTTTAAGTTTCCACGTGTGGCGTTGTAAGATAAGCACTTGACCACAAGGTCAGTTTGAATCTCAAGGTTGGCGATTGAAACCCAGCAGCCGCTCCTTGGAAACCCCTATACAGGGTCATGATGAGTCAGAACCAACTTGATGGCGTTTAGCAACAATTACGTCTTTTAGTGACTTGATAGCTCATTTCTTTATGTTGATGAATATAGTCCATGAAACATGAATATATCACAGTTTATTTCCTAGTTTGGGAGTCTTGGTGTGGTAGTACGGGACAATGCACTGGACTGCAAGGTTGGTTTGAAATGTGAGGTTGGTGGTTCAAATTCACCAGTCATTCCTCGAAAACCCTATTACAGGTTTGCTATGAGGCGGCAGAACTTAACAACAACAACAGCAACATATCATAGTTTTGTCCTGGTATGGCACTGCGGGTTAATGTGCTGAACTGCAAAGTCAGCTTGAACCACAAGGTCGGCAGTTCAAGCTCACCAGCTGCTCCTCGGAAACCCTATACAGGGTCGCTGTGGGTAGGAACCGACTCGATGGAACATAACAACAACAATTTGATTGTTTCCAGTTTGGGGTATTCTGAATAAGGTTGTGGTAAACATTTGTGAACAAGTGTTCATGTGGGCACAAGTGTACAACTCATTTGGGTAAATACCTAGCAATGCATTGCTGGAGTGTCTGTTTAACTTTGTTAGAAACTGCTAGACTGCCTTTCTGAGTGGCTGTACAATTTTGACTTCCCAAAGGCTTGGTTTTTAAGCAAATCTAGAAGGTAGGATTTCAGCCAAGATACATAATTATTAATATATTTCTAGGGATGTCTTGTCATTGTTGTTACGTGCTGAGTTGGTTCTGACTCATTGTGCCCCTGTATTAGGTTTCCAAGGAGCACCTGGTGAGTTTGCACTGCTGACCTTGAGGTTCAAACCGACCTGGAGGTTGACTGTTTACCCTACAGTGCTGCACGAGGACTCCAGGGATGTTGTAAGTAAGCTTCCTCAAAAGAGAAAGAGAGGCCTCTAGGTCTTGACTGTTTTTAGTGAAAGGTACACAGGCCAGTGGTGCTATAGAATAAGCACTGCACTGCAAGGTCAGTTTGAACCACAAGGTCGGTAGTTCAAACTCATTAGCCACTTCTCGGAAACCCTGTACAGACTCACTATGAATTGGAACCAACCTGAAGGCACTTAACAACAACTTAGGCCAAAGTGCCTGCAGGCATTTAAAAAGAACTTGCAAATTAACAACCTAGAGAGAAGGAGTCTTCACACAAGGATCAAGCCTGTCTTCTCAGTTACAGGGTTGATAGGAACGGGAAACTTGGACATTGGCTACCTAAAATGGGGCAGGGGAGGGCAATAAAGGCACAAAGTGGCTGGCTTACAAGTTATCAGGAAGGACTTGAGTTTCAGAGTGTGCGGGGGAAAGGTAGAACCCCCACTGAATGGTTTTCATCTTGTCTAGTAAAAAGAGATGGGGATAAGATTCTTATGATTCAATAGTGAGTAATTGTTATCATGACTAATTGCAATGGTCACAACTGTAAAGGCAGAAGTTTTGTAACATAAAGGGGGGAATAGTTAATTTTACAGTTCAGGAGCAGAGAACCCTAGGACCATCAAGAGAGAAGAGCATGAATGGAATGTGGAACCCTAAAAAAAATGCAGATTATTATTATTTGTGGGGCTAACACTTGGGTAGATGATAGTCAAATGTCTTTTTAATCTGAAACTCGATTCATTTTTCAAAGTAATGGAATTGTTGAATTGTTTTCCTTTGTTATTGAAGCCAGAATTTAGTGTTCTTTGCATTTCCTTTTGGAGTCTTGATTCTTTGAGAAGTGTTTTGCCAGTTCTGCTGGGGTTATGGAGTCCTGGTATGGCACTTTTGGATCAGAACTGGGCTGTTCAAACCTACCAGCTGCTCCTTGGAAACCCTATACCAGGATGCTGTGAGTTGGAACCAACTTGTCGGGACTTAGCAGTAGTAGCAGCAGCAGCAGAATCAGCAGCACAGGAGTTATGAAAATCGGTCCTCTCCTGGGCCTCCATCTCCTGACTTCTGAACCCTGCAGCCTCCACCCCAGCCCCCATGCTTCTCCCTACTGGCTGGGCCCCAAGTGCCGCAGGAGAGCATTGTATCTCCAAATGACAAAAAAGGACTGAGACTCCCCCCTGGATGAGGGTTTTACCTACCAGTTATTCCTTCTTTATCCATGCCACTGTTTCGGCCCTTGCATATAGCTTCTGTCGTGGAGGAAAAAGAAAGCTCTTTTGCAGGCAAAGGGCAGAGATGTGGTTGTGTTGTGCCATTAGAAAAGTTGACCCCCTGGTCATCTGTGGATTCTGGGCAAAGTAAAGCCTCCTGAGCTTTAATTTCATTAATTTTATAACAGGAATGGTATCCGTTTTCTAGGGTCTCAGTTATTTCCCACCCCACTCCCTTCCTTTGGCCGGATTGCCGCTTCCCACCCCACATCACCCTTGTTTCCATTTCTCCCTTCACAGCAAGCTTCCAGAAAGTCTGTGTATGCTGGAAGGCATTAGCGCTGTCTGAGTTCCAGATGTAGCACACCTTGATGGGCAAAGAACAGGTCCCTAGGCCACCGTCTTGGGCTACCTTGTCCTCAAACACTCCAAGTCAGGGTTGTGTGTGTGGTAATGCTTGTTTCTCCAGGATGCGAGGAGCTGCATTATCAGTGACATCATCCTGGAGACTTGTGTGTACTGTAGCCATTGTGTACTAGAATGTTCAGTGCCTGGTGGTCCTGGGGATGGTAGGTTGGGGGTGGGGGCGTGAAGAAGGTGGGTGTTTGGATGTGGCTTGAAGTAAAAGTTTTTCCATATCTTGCTGTGGAATAACTATTGCTGTGTTTAGTTCTTATTATTTTACTTTCATAAATCCCATCGTATTTGATTTTGAACCCAGCAGTGCTGGGTTCTCTGTGGTGAACACTGTGGGGGACTGGTCATGAGAATTTGATGCTGGTCTTGGCTTGGCTGCTGGCAAGGGTGTCTGTAAAGTCAACTTTTCTGAGTCAAGGTTTCCTGAACTATTAAAAGTTATCATTCCTGACCTGCTGGAGTCACATGGTTTTGTAAGGAGAAAATCAAGTTAATATAGATGGAAATGAGTTATGAATAGGAAGACACTTTTCAGTATAAAAATAATGAGTCACACTTTCATAATACTGCATGCCAGACACCCTTCTGGGCTGTCTACGTATAACAGAGTGGGGTGGGGTGGTGGAGTGCTGTGGAGTCAGTTCCGACTCCTAGCGACCCTGTATTGGGTTTCTAAGGCTGTAAATCTTTACAGGAGCAGAAAGCATCATCTTTATCTTGTGGAACCATTGGTAGTTTCGAACTGCTGACCTTGAGGTTAGCAGCCTGACTTGTAACCACTACACTACCAGAGCTCCTTACATACTTGGGTATTGACTTTAATTCTCACAACAACCCTGTGAGATGGACTGTTCTTATCATCACTTTACTGTAAAGGAAAGAGAGGTTAAATAACTTCTGAAGGTCATACAGCCAGCAAGTGAAGCAATAGGAAGGCAGGGCTGCGTTTTCAGCTGCACCTCACTGCCTCTGTCAGATGTCATCATTTGTCACTGTTATTATTCCTATTCCATAGCCACGGATACAGCTCAGCCAGGGCCTCGGAGAACATGTTAAGCTGTTGTTGTTGCTGTTAAGTACCATCGAGTTGGTTATGACCCATAGCGAACCCAGTAGGTTTCCGAGGAGTGGCTGGTGAGCTTGAACCTCCGACCTTGTGGCTCAATGCATTAACCCACAGTGCCATTCAATGCAATTTGCAGTCCAATGCATTAACCCACAGCACCACACCAGGAGTCAGATGTAAGATGAATCAGTTTGTGTAAACTGTGCACCCTGGTCACACCCTTTACCAGTTTTCTGGGGTCCAAGCAACGGGCCAGACTCTCAGGGATGTGGGCTGAATCCACGGCTGTTGAATTGATTCCGATTCATAGGTACCCTATAGGACAGCGGAGAACTACTCCAGACTGTAAATCTTCATGGAAGCAAACCATCTCATTTTTCTCCCACAGAGTGGTTGGTGGGCTTGAACTTCCAACCATACTATTAGTAAGCAGCCCAACACTTAATGCGTACTTATCAGATTGCTCAGCGAGTAGCCACAATTGAAAAGCACACTGACTTTTGTCTCCAAACAGTATGTTTTCCTGGATTACTCTAGGATGAAGGGACTGATGAGCAGGAAAAGGCCAAGGATAGGCTTCTGGTGGGCATGGGAGGGGCAGCTGAAGTTGTGCCTCTAATTTTTGTTCTGAAGAGTCTGGATAACTCCCTGTGTGGCCAGGAGGTGCTGAAATGCTGAGTTTGTGTCTACCTGTTTCAGGCAAGCCTGGGGCTCCTCAGACCTGTCATAGTGGGTGTTCCCATGATCACCAAGCCAATGGACACGCTGAGGCAGTCCAATGGGAGTCAGTGAGTGTGAACATTCATGGTACTATTTTCTGTTTATCTAGGCAGCCAGAAGTGCTTCCCACGAGCAGCATCTCTCCTGAAGAAGCGGCTGACAAGGCGACCAGGCTACATGAGAGCTGCAGCCAGACCTGGGATCGGGTTTCTCCCCACTGCAATGGACACACCGGTCTGTGCCCAGGGTGTAGTATGCTGTGAAGAGCGCCTCCACTCTGGGTCCATGGCCAGGCACTGCGGCCTCTTCCTGGACAGTCAAACTGGGTTTTCTGGGGACCAGCCAGGCCTGGCTCTGTGCTTTGATAGAGAACCCTCCTGGATTCAGTCCAGAGCTGAGCCCACACTACCTGACAGACTTATCAGGCCCTCTAACCCTGGGCATTTGGGGTGCCAGCGAGAGTTTTCACCCATGGACAGTTCTGAGGTTGTGGATCCAGCCCATGAGGTGGTCTATGATAAAGGAGCAAAGAGCATCTGGGAGCAGGTGGACAGCAACAGCAGCAGCCAGGGAAATGACCCCCAGGCCTCCTCTTCCTCTCCCAGCTCTCAGGACACCTTTATGTCAAACTTCAGCTTCATCCAGCTCTCCCTCAGCTGTGCGGAGGAACATGGGGAACCAGATAACTGCACACCAACAGAGGAGACTGAATCGCTTCATCAGAGCTCCACAGAGGTGAGAGCCAAAGCTGCCAACCATGACAGGCCCTGGGAGGACCCATGGCTTTTCTCCCAACCACCGCATCCCAAGGCTACTCAGGGTGTGGGGGACTGTGCATGGGTCACAAGGAGCAAACCCAGGCCTGGGAGGGAGACCCTCTCCTCACTGGATGGACACTCTGCCCCATCATGTTCCTTGGTGTCTGGCCCCTCTGGCTCTGAGGGCAGCAACGTGAGGCATGATTACAGCTGGAATGCCCTGCTCAAGAAGTACGGGCCTGCCCTTCATGACTGTCTACTGAGCAACCAGAAACAACTGAAGGTCAGTGTCCCATCAGTGTTTGGGGTCCTGAGACAGTCAGAAGTTCAAATTAGAGACTGGGCAACAGCAAGCAGGAAGTGACTGGGTGCTGGGGTTGTCTGACTTCTCTCCCAGAAGCCGTGGAGCTTCTTTTGTGGCTAGCTGCAGAAAAGATGGTCCTACACTTCTGTTTCTTCTCCTTTCATTTGAACACAGATCTGTTTTCATTTCATCTTCTTGATCACTTGGATGCTCAGATTTGTTCTCCGTTAAGCCATGGGGCCCTCTGCAGTCCCTGGCCTAGGTGGTACATGGCCAGCTCCACCTAGCTCTGTTTTGGAACAGGGAATTGAGGGAGGTTAAGCTGGCTGATATTGTGAAATAGTGATGCCCTACACTGAAGGTGATTCCAGTCTTCGTCCATACTTTCTTAATTAGTCCATCCTGTGGCTGTGAATTCCTTTATGTAAAGTCAGGATGCTGGAGATAACAATGCCTCATTGAAGTTTTCTCAAATGAACTTGCATGTACTTGGGAAATTAGGAAGAACCATATAAATGTAAGCTCTCGTATTATTATATTGTTGTCCATGTGGTTGTGAGTGGTCAGAGGAGCTGGGTACAGGCAGGATTGTTCCAAACCAAAAATGCAGACCCCCAGGTGGAGAGACTTTGTGGCTCACCTATTGGGCTGTGTGTTGTATCCTGTTGTCAGATGTCATTTTACTTATGGAGTGTGTGTGTATGAATGTATGTGTTGTTGTTATTGTTGTTAAGTGCTGTTGAGTTGGTTCCGACCCAAAGAGACCTTGTATAGGGGTTTCAAGGGTTGGCTGGTGAATTTGAACTGCTGACCTTGAGGTTAGCAGTCCAGTACTTATCCTACATTGTTTCGTTCTGCTGTGCATGGGGTCGCTATGAGTCGGTTCCGACTCGATGGAACCTGACAACAACAACAACTTATCCTACAGTGACATACCAGAATTATATGTGTGTATAAATTGTGTGTGTGATCTATGTGTATATGTATGAGGGGGCTTCAAAAAGTTTGTGGAAAAATTGTTATCTTGTAATTCCATTTTCCCATAACTTTTGAAGTCCTTTTGTATATGTGTGAGTTTTGTATGTGTCATGTACATGTGTATAATTTGGGTGAATATGTGTGAGTGTGGATTGTGTATGTGTTGTCTATGTGGTTTCTGTGGTGTGTTTGTGTGGTGTGTAATGTGTGTGGTGCATTTGTGATTTAAGTTTGTGACTGGATATGTGTAATATGTGTAAAGTGTGTGCACATGTGTGCTGTGTGTATGTGTGCATGCATATGAACATGTGAATGGATGAAATGAATAGGAAAGTAGAGTATCCATTAACTTATGAGAATTATCAGAAAATGTGGAAGTTCATGTTCATTTCCTGAAATCCTATCTCCTTTGCTTACCCTCTTTGACCTACAGCCTGATGTTCTTTGCTCCTCCCTTTGTGCCTGGTTCTAGCCCTCAGGGACCTCCGTCCAGCCTTCTGATTTATCACTCAGGGAGCGACTGAAACCAGGGCAGAATAAGATCTGTGGAAGCTTAGAGTTCAACGTGTGAAAATCTCATCTCGTTATCTTTTCCACCAGACCTGCTCGAGAGTGCCTTATTCTTGATAAATATTTACTGATTTGACTTTCAGAGAATCCATCGAGTTCCTTACGCTGGAAACTCCATCGTCTTCAACACACACTCTGTCTCCCTCTCCATACCTCATTAGTCACCTGGTCCTCTCAGTTCTGATGCTAACATTCTCCACTGTTGCTGCACTAGTTCAAGTCAGTATTACCTTTAACTTGGGGCTTGTAAGAGATTCCTCCAGTTTCTCTCATCTCCAGCTCACCTTCCATGAAACACAAATTGGATGGTGTCATCCCTTGGCATAACATCTGACAACCAACATGTTCCACCAGCCTGTCCCCTGAGACTTACCTCCTGCCTGCTCCAATACTCTCTGATGCTGTGTGTCAGTGTCTGTGGCAGCCTGGGGAAGAATGGCCCAGACCCTGGTGTCTTTGATCATGATTTTCTCCCATATTCTTTACCTGCTTGGTGGTGGTGGTGGTGGTGGTTATGTGCTATGGAGTTGGTTCTGACTCATAGCGACCCTGTATAGATAGGGTTTCTGAGGCTGTAATTCTTTATGGGAGCAAAAAGCCTCATCTTTCTCCTGCAGAACAGCTGGTAGTTTCGAACTGCTGACCTTGTAGTTTGCAGCCCGATTCATAACCACTACTCTACCAAAGCTCCTTTTACTTAAACCTTTTGGTGTATTTCCAATGCCATTTTCTCATGAGATATTTCTACCCCATTTAGACCAAATAAGGAAACTTGGTGGCACATAGATAAGCACATGGCTGTTAACCGAAGGTTGGCAGTTCAAACCCAGCAGCTGCTCTGTGCAAGAAAGATGTGACAGTCTGCTTCTGTAAGAGATTGTTGTTGTTATGTGCCGTGGAGTCGGTTCCGACTCATAGCGACACTGTACAGGGTTTCTGAGGCTGTAAATCTTTACAGGTGCAGAAAGCCTCATCTTTCTCCTGTGGAACAGCTGGTAGTTTCGAACTGCTGACCTTGCGGTTTGCAGCCCGATTCATAATCACTACACTACCAGAGCTCCTTGTAAGAGATTACAGTCTTGGAAATTCTATGGGGCAGATCTACTCTGTCCTGTCGCATCTGTGAGTCAGAACTGACTCAATGACATCAAGTTTTTGGTTTCTAGATGGAATGCCTCCTTCTTTCCCTTTCATTGCCATAGCCCTCTGGACTTGCTCCGTTATATAGCATTCATCACATTTTATAACAGTTTGTGGTCCCAGTTCCCTACTTGATCATTGCTCTATAACTAACTGTAGCTTCCCTCTCAGCAGTTTTTGGATGCCTGATGCCTAGTGTATGCATTAGCAGGTGCTTGACTGATAATTCTTTTTATGAAAACAAGATGAGGCACAGACCTTTTTATTTTTTAAGTTTCATTGTGAATTATGTGATAGCTTACATGGGAGAACATTAGTTTTACATTCATCCTATCGTATATTGTTTCATTGCCATAGTTACAATTCCCTCCACACATCACCAATCAGTGAAAGGGTACATCCTACAAGTCTGCTCCCGCCCCCCAGTCATCAGCACACAGTCCTCAGCTGCTCTATCTCTCCACGTCATCAT